GCAGCCTTCCCATGTAAGAAGTTGCAACACACGGGTCCCTGGAGTCCCCACCTCCAGCACCCCACTCCAGGGATTTCAGGTCCCTGGCCCCTCCTCCTAACTCAGAATATAAGCCTTTTGTATAAAGTATATATTAAGCACTGTGGAATCATATTGTGATCCCAGCATGAAACGATTCAGGAGGGTCCAGTTCACTGTGGGCTTCACTATTTCTTGGGCAGGTGGGCCCGAACCCAGAGCCTTGGGTTAGGGAAGCGCTCTAGCCTCTTACCTAGGAATGAGATAGCATGTCTAGCCCTTTAAAACACTTTATGTTTGTGTGCATGGTGACACACACCTCTATTCTCTGCACTGGGGAGGCAGAGGCAGGTGAGTTTGCAGCCAGCCTGGTCTACATAGTGAGTTCCAGGACAGCCCAGCTTATCTCCAAAAAATAAAAAACTGCCTTTGCCTGAAAAAGGTTCTTCTCTATGTGTCTCTCTCTTAATCCCCTCTCTTCTCTCTCCTCTGCAATCTGGCATGGAGGCTAAAAAAAATGGTCCACACATTCTGAGGAAGTTCTGTCCCATTTGCTAAGGATTATGACCCCATCATACTTGAATGAGCCCATTGGCTGTACTTTCTGAGAAAGAGTCTCATGTAGTTCAGGCTGGCTTCAATCTCTCTATGTAGTTGAAGATAACGTTGCACTTTTTAATAAAGTTTATTGTATTTTGAGTCTAAATGTGCACATGTGCATTCAGGTGCCCCCAATGGCCAGAAGAGGGCGGCAGAGTTACAGGTGACTGTGAACAAGCCAATGTGTGGGCTGAGACCTGAACTCTGGTCCTCTGGAAGAATAGCCAGTGTTCTTAACTTCTAAGTCATCTCTCCAGTTCTAGCTGTAAACCCTCCCTCCCTCCCTTCTCTCTTTCTTTCTTTTTTTGAAACACAATCTTGCAACCCTACCTGGCTTGTAACTCACAAAGATCTTAGTGCTAAGATTGAAAGTGTCTGCTGCTGTGGCCCCATCACGGGACCCCCAAGCAAGACCACCACAGAACCGATATCCATTGCAAAACACACAGGGGTTTATTGATAACAAGCAAGCCCAAGCTTGGTCCGTGTCCAACACTCGACACAACGGGTGGAGGAGGATGGCCCTGAGCCCTCAGGGTGAGGGGTTTTTAAAGGGAAAAACCACAAGCAGGGTGGTACAAGCCTCAGCATCATATGATTGGGTGAGGGTGTGTAACCTTTGAATCTACTGGTTGGGGGTACAGTTATCATTTTGGGGCAGGCCTGGACAAGTCACAAGCTTTGCCCTTGAGCTGCCATGGGAGCTGGCTGGCCTCGCACGTTCACATTGACCCATGTGATAGACCCCAGACCCAGGGTACTACCTTCTCGGGGGGGGGGCACCCCAAGAACCCAGACTCCAGTCCAGTTGATGCAAACAGCAAGAGGTTTATTGATGCAGCTGTACAGTCGGGCCACTCTTGTCCTGAGAGCAAGAGTCGCGCCTACTGCAGCCACATGGGTACTTTTAAAGGAAAAAACCACAAAAGCCATAAGTAAATAAATACTGATATAATATTACAGGGATATGCTTACTTATTTACTCAATCCCTTGCATATGTTTTCAGGGTTGAGCTTGAAACAAGTAACTAGAATCAAAGTTTGTCTATTCAGATACACTTGGACAGCCCTCATACTTCAGAGATCTGCAGAATATGGCATTTAAATGTTGATCTAAAAGCTTATTATATCAGACAGGCTTCCAGATCCTAGTGGTGACCCAAGGTCTCCAAAGAAGATTACATACAAGGCACCACAACGTCTCTGCCTGGATCATGGCTACACTGACCACAGGGCAAGATGCCCCAATGTCTGGCTTACCTGAGAGCTGCAGAAGGAGGTGGCACATTTTTGGGAGCTGCTGATGACTCAGGGACTCTCAGCCTCTGCCCTAAGAGGTCTAAAGGTAAAAGAGAACAGTCCTGGAGATGCTCTGTCAGTGGTATCATCTCCTCCCACCCCAGCTTCACCCTAGTCTCCTCCTCCACACAATGGGGAGCTGGAGCCCTCCTTCTCCCCCAGTGCTGAGCCCCAGATTGGGCCTGAGGAGGCCATAGAGAGGCTACAAGAGACGGAAAAAGATTATTGCCAAGATAAATGAGACTTGGGGGAAAAAGCCTCCTAAGACAAAAGCCCTCAGAATGGAGAAAGAAACATTGCTGGCTAAGATGGGCGTGGCTGTCCCAGAGGATGGTGGTACTGTAAAAGACTCCCCACCTGGTAAACCTGAGGACCCCTTGATGTCTGAGTGTCTTCCCTACCACATCAAAGATAATGTCACCAGGGTTGGCCAGGTAGATATGGACATCAAGTTGACTGGACAGTT